TACTTTTAACTACTGGGCCATTCCACCTCCCAAATATTTGTGGAAAACATAATGTTCGATTTTTTTTTTTTCATAAACTTGAACAAAACAGATTCACTGGTAACTCACCTTTGCTGGTCCCAGCCTCTGGTTTTTTAAAGCCATGCGGGTCAGAATCAGAAAGTAAGCTCTCTGCCAGAATGATTCAAAATAGGATTTATTTATTGAATAGGTGCTTGCACAGAATACAAAAATAAAAGTTACAAAAGGAGAAACAACGAAAATGAAGATGCCCGCCCCCCATATGCAGAGCTGGCTAGTTCCCTTTTCCAGAGGTAACTATAAAGATCTACTGTTATCATGACAGGTAGGCTTAGGAGCTGTATTTCATAAACTATGATTCCCAACCCAGTACTGGATCAATTTTGTGGGTCCTGACCAGAATTCATTTTTTAATGTCATTAGAAAATATATATTTGAGAGGACTGTGTTTCACATAGCTTGTGTTTCGGTTTCACGCGTAGCGTCAATATACATCTGAGTCACAGGGTGTAAAAAAAGGTAATTTTACACTTCTCAACATGAAGTAATGTTCAAAGCAGTTGGAAAGCCACTGGCCTGGTCAACCTAGAAGTTGGAAATTATGAAGGTCGCCTCCACAGAGAACCTTCCATCCTTCCCTCTCATGAGTCACTTTGGAACTCAGCAACCTGAGTGACATCATTAAAGCAGAAGTCCGATCCCATTCCTCCTCCGTTCAAAGCCCCTTTCAAGGGGCGCCCATCTGAGGAGAGTAAAAGCCACGAGACAACAGGGATTTCTATTTGTTTGTTGTGTTAGCAGCCTAAACTAATCCAAAATCAAAAATATGGGCTGTGTGATAATAAATCAGACTCTGTGGGGGGAGGGGCTCTGGGAAGGACTTCACAGAGTTGGACAGCATCCATCAAAGCAGCTGATATTAAGAATGGATATCCGCAATTAGGGTCTGTATATGGGATGAGCTTCTTTTCTTTTTTTTTAAAGATTTTATTTATTTATTTGACAGAGAGAGAGAAACACAGCGAGAGAGGGAACACAAGCAGGGGGAGTGGGAGAGGGAGAAGCAGGCTTCCCGCGGAGCAGGGAGCCTGATGCGGGGCTCGATCCCAGGACCCCGGGATCATGACCTGAGCCGAAGGCAGACGAGCAACCAACTGAGCCACCCAGCCACCCCGGAATGAGCTATCTTAAAATATAATTTTAGGACATTCATAAAATCCCCTTTGGAGAATTCTGGGGGTGCCTCCAGGAGACAGGATACTGTCCCTAACAGCTGGCCCATAGTCAGAGAGGCTCCCAGGGAGGCATGCTGCTGCATCCATGAGAAGATGCAGAGGAGAGAGAACGAGAAGGAGTCCCACCACAAGCCCCCGACGTACAGGGGCAGAGCAAAATGGGGCTGCTTCTCATGTGGGCAATTCCTCTCGCCTTGGTGCGAGGTGAACGGCAGCAGGGATTTACCGCGTCCGGTGTGCTATTGCAGAGGAGAGCCAGCACAACAGCAAAATAATGAGGCCAGTTCTCCGTGTCTCAGAAATAGGAGCAGCACTCAGCAGGAGAGTAAAGGATGGTTCCGCGTTGGCTCCTTCCCTTCCCTCTCCATCTCTCGTCACTCTCCTCTGGAGCTGTGCGCCCCTAAACATGGCAGCTGCGTCCTCACAGGTCCATGTGGAGGCCTCACTGGGGCCACTTCCTCGTGTCCCCATCAGGGAGGAGCTAACCCTCCTCTGAAGTGGCAGCTCCTGCAAATCAAGAGTGTAAAATCTTGGCGTCTTTGTTCATTTGTTGGCTTGATTCCTGTCTGCTAGACATGTAACACCTTGTCTGTCTTGTTCTCTACCTGAGGCTCAATGCCAAGGGCAGCATCTGATGCTAAGTAGGCAATCGGTAACCATATATCTTAAATGGATGAATAAATGTTAGGCAACATTTATTCAGAGTAGAAGCTGTGGCAGCCAATTAGTTCCTCAAGCACAAGCAGGCAGATCGTGAAAGGTGGGTGTGCACCCCTCTGCACCTGGGCAGTAGTCCTGTATGTGCCATCTGGGGTGACTTGCCAGTTTGACATGCTTTGGGTAGAACTGTGCCTTTGTGTGTTTACCAGGTGAAAAGAGATGGCAGGCGGAAGGAAGTGCACAAGCAAAAGCACAGGGGCTTGCAAGGGCACTGGGCACAGCAATTACCAAGAGTGCCATGGTGCTATCTAAGACGTCAGGTTCCTGGGAGGGCATGGCCAGAGGCTAGGCTGCACAGACGAGGTTCAGTTGTGAAGGGGCACAACGGTAACAAGTTTGCACTTTATTCTGTAGGCAACTGGGGATTCCTTGGCAGTTTGGAAGCAGAGAAATGACATGATCAGGTAACTCTGAAAGTGATATGAAAGAAGGATCAGAGAAGAGGAGGTCCTGTAATTAGGGAAGCCAATTACGAGTTTATTACACATGTCCAGATTCAGACATAATGGGGGCCAAGACCACCACGTGGCCATGGCGATGGCGAGGAAGCCCTCTGGGGCAATTAAAGGGAGGTGACCAGTTGGAAATGTGGGTGTGGATGTTAGATATTGAGGTTGGACGTTCAGATGGAGAGTCATATGGGTCCTGTTGAAGTCATGGAAGAAAATAAAAACACCGATTTTGAGTAATGTATCATTTAGAAAATCTGACAAGAGCAGGTGTTTTTTGTTTCAGAGTCTTCACAGATACCCACCAAAAAGCCAAGTAAAAGGTCCATGGACATCAGTTATGAATACCTGATTGAAAAGAGGAAGAATGACAGAGTCCCAAGGAATGACCTCACCCAAGAAGTGGGCAGAGGAAGACTATGGTCCCCAACCCTTCTCAACTACTATAGAGATGTTGACTACTGCCCATCAGAGAGGTAGGAGAAGCTGAAGAGAGAACAAGAGAAAAGGAGAACTTTGTTCTTGAGGTCAGAGGTGCCTCAGACAACACCAGGAAGACTAACCACATGGCAGAAGATGAAGAAAGAGATAAAGCTCACTTCTAATCTTTTTAGATGTTTGGAAAAGACAAATTGCTTAAGTAGGAATAGCTAGAAAGCCTCATCAAAGAGTTCAGGGTGGGCACAGACAGAGTTGGACGCAGAATGCAGCACTCTCAGGAAGCCAGAAAGAAAGATGCTTTCCAGGCAGAAGTAGGCCTCTTTCTTTAGAAAAACTCAACGAAACTCGGTTACTGAATGAATAATAATTTCTATACTTATATACGTAATGAACTCAGATGTACAGGTGTGTGCAACTGCCTACATGTGTGTTTAGTATTGTGAAATACTAAATAGCCTATCTATTATGTAGATATGAACACATTTTCATATAATTTTGCATTTACAGAAAGGTATGTTCATCCATTTAACATATATACATATGCAAATACAGTATAGTCTAGAAGAGTGTTATAGTTTAATGTCTATTAAATATCCACATGCCCCTTCCATATATATGGCTGCGACTAAAGCTTGGTTCTATTACCCAATGTTCATGAGGATTCTCTGGAGAAATTTCGTAGTGGTCTTACTATTAAGAAGAGTTGATGTTTTTTCTTCTTTTGTCTTGCATGTGACAGAAATTGAGTTTTATACAAAGCTCTCTTTTGAAGATGACTGCTAGAAATCTGGGAAACAAATTTTGGTCCTCTTTGTAGCCAAGTGCTCTATGGGCGTGCATTTAAAAAAAATGACTTTCACTTCTGGCTCCATTTTATATGCTTTATTTTTCACTTTTTATTTCACACTATTTTTTGTAAGTTGTGTACCTTTGTAAGTTACCTTTGTAAGCTTCTTTTTCTAGGAGGTGCCATATAAACATGAAGAAATACAGAAATGAAATCACAGAGGGAGACTTTAAGGTCCAGGACTTTCTGACTAGGAAGAGACCTATTATTGTGGTCAGAATTAAGGCATGTGACAATGATAATGGGTGTGTTATTAGGACAGTCCAGCAGCGATTACAGGGAGTTGGACAGATCTCAGCCCAGGTCACAGTTCTCTCTGCCGTTTACGAGTCGTGTGACGGCAGGCATGTTAGTCCCTAAACTGCAATTTTCCCATCTCGAAAACCGTGACCTCTCGGGATTTGGGGGGATGGCTTAAACGAGGCAACGTATAGAAAGCACTTTAGCACAACGCACTCCATCAATCAGCTACTGCTATCGTCACTATCTTTTGGACAAGCAGAGCTGGGCCACCATTCCTGGCCCTGTCTGCCGTGAGAAAGTTCTTCCCACTCCTCCCCGCATCTCCCACACCCACAGACGCTGGGCAGCTGTCTCCCGCCAGATACGGATCACACCTCCGGCGCGCACCTCCACGGCCGCCGCCTCCCGCAGGGTGCAGGGCGCCGATCTCCAGCCAAAGTCCTGCAAATCGCTACCGAGAAGGCACGGGAGGCGCAGGCTAAGGCAGAGCCACACCTGAGTGTTAGTTCCCTACCGCGCCCCCGGCGGCGCTCCGGTAGACACAAGGGGCCCCGCGAAGGGGCCAGGGGTCTCCGCGAGGCGGGACAGAAGTGCGGCCTCCCCCCCCCCAGCCCACCCCCCGAGCCGCTCCGCGAAGCCCGTGCCCTCGGGCTCACACCGACTCGGCGGCGCCCCTTCAGACTTCAGCTGGGGGCCGGGAGCGGCGGGCGGCGCCGCCGGGCGCTCGCGAGTGATGGGGGCGGGTTTCGCAGAGGAGCCGGAGAGCGCCACACGTTTCCTCCACCGACAGCATCGGCGCGTGTCAGGTGGTTGGTGCGGGCGAGAGTGCGCGCGCGCGTGAGGGCGAGAGGGCGCGCTCACAGAAACTTTGTGCCTGCGGGTGCGCCTCGGGCGGGCTCGCCGGCTCGGAGCGCGGCGGGTGGGCGGCCGGGGGCGGAGGGGCCCCGCGGGCGGCGGCGACGGCGGTGGCGGCGATGCGCCGCGCCCCGCCGAGCCCGTCCCGGCGCGGTAGGTGAGGCGGCCGCGGGAGCGCCGGCCGTGGCCATGGGCACCCTGGGCAAGGCGAGAGAGGCCCCGCGGTGAGTAAGGGCCCGGGCCCTCGGCGGCGCCAGTTTCCTCTCTTGGGGCGGGCGGCCGCCTGAGCCCTCTCGGGGGTGGGAAGTGGGGTGGACGACGTGGGCGCCTCCTTCTACGGGAAGTTGCTGACCCGGGGTGCGAGCGGCAGCAGGCCGAGGGCTCGGCTCCAGTCCGGGGAGACCGGCGCGCCGGGCAAGTGGGGCAGGGAGCTGGGTTGCGCGCGCGGCGAGCTCCGGAGTTGCACCGATCCCCCCTCCTCCCCTGCTGCTCGGCGTCCGGCACCTGGGTCTCCTACTCGCGGACTTTCCGCAAAATCCGCACCTGCTGCGGGCGCGGGGCTCGGGCAGCGCCACCTGGCGGCCTCTCCCGGTCCTGTGGATCCCGGGCAAGGCCCAGAAAGGCCGGTGGCATTTGCGAGGTCCCCGAAACATACAGCCCTCTGGGTGGAAACTATACCCCCCTCTCCCCCGAACGGCGATTCTAGAGAGATGTTTTAGGAGGGTCTTGAAGATGAAGGAAGAGTGATAGTGCAAAGTCTCTTGGCAGGAGAAAGAGGCCTGGAGGGGCCAGGCAACTTGGAGCGTGTCCCCCTAGAGCCGGGGGAGCCTGAGCACAGCATACCAGTTGTGCTCTGCCCAACTCCCTCCACGTGGACCCCGGTGTGACTGCGCTGTGCCCAGCCCTCACAGACAGGCCCGGGAGGGGCAGGAAGCTTTAACCTGCTGGACTTTCTGGAGCCAAAGGTTCTTGGCCTTTTCTGCATTCCCCCAACCAAGGGGGTGTTTGCCCCGAGGGTATAGCACTGCACCTTCAGCTAGATTGGGGAAGGGGGGTGGGCGTCGGTAAATTACACTGCGTCTATACTATGGGGCTGAGGGAGAGGAGAGAACTGGGAAGGACCCTCACCAGAAGCCAACTAAAGCTACCTTCCACTGCAGAGAAAGTTGGGGAAATCTGTGTTCTCTTCCTCCATTTCATCCTTTCCTCTTCTTGGCTAGATTTCATAAAAAGTTCAACCCGAAAGTGTGTGTGCCCTCCACGGAGGCAACGGTGCCTGGACAGGATTTGACCTGAACCCGTTCGGAGTTTTGACAGCTTCCTGCGGCAAACCCCACGCGGCCTTGGCTGCTCATAGTCTCAGAAAACACTTTCAAGTTAATCTGTTTCTCTCGCCATCCCCTCCCTTTTTTTTTAAATTTAGGTGAGGACATTTGGCTACAGTCCTTTAAAAATATGCCTTTGGAAATTTAGACTATTCTTTCTGTGGATTGTTTAATACCTTTAGATATGCCTGTAATGAAACATTTCCTACATCCTTACATGAAGCCATTTCACCAGAAAAGAGAGTGGTTTGCAGGTTTGCCAGGAAGCAGCCAGTCAAGACTGTCAGCAAAAAGAGCAGAGTTTCCTAGTTTATGGTGCAGATAACCCCATTTCCCCAGACCTCTCAGGTTGCAGTTCGGTTTTTAGTAGCATCTCTTCTCCCTGGTGTCTCAGGCCCCCGAGCCTCTGAGCCTGTCTGGCCTCCAGACTCCCAGATGAGGTCTCTCACTTTCCCTTCCTGCCCCCAACCTGAATACTCCCTTCATGCTGCTGCTTTCTACTTGAATCTCCCCTCGTCCCTCTTATATTCTGGTAAAAGCATCTACCTCTGAGAATCACGTTGGGACCCAAAGTGGTTTCCCCTCCTGCTGACATTAGGAGATGTGACTAGAATTAGAGCCGGGGGCAGTTTTCAGAGTCCTCAGTGGTCGATACCACCAACCGAGAGAGAAAATGGAATTTTCCCAGGATCCAACAGTTGAGAGACTGGAGTTAACACCTCCCAGCCCCAGGGGCGGAAGAGGTATGTGGAGACAAAGCCTCCAGTAGCAGTCGCTTCCTCTCCGGGGCCAGCTTCATCTTTCCCCGCTTTGCCTTGGGTGGAGGTCTTCATGGTGAACAGGCAGCAGTGAAGGCAGAGGCTGACCGTTTCCACTGGACACCCAGCACCAGGTTTAGAGAGTTGCCAGTACTTTCAGGAAGGGAAGGGAGCCTGGCTGGGGAGAAAGGCGTAGGGCACAGGAGGCCTGGCTTCTACCAGCCGCCGCACCAGTGGCCGGTGACATTGCCTTTCTGAGAGCCTGGACCTCCCCACGTATATATGAAAGTGGAAAATGACCGTGAAGAGTCTGCCCAGCTCTGGGGTCTGAGGACTGTTCCAGGGGTCTGCAGGAGGAATAAGGCCTGGGATTCAGCCTTTAGGTTATTAGCTATGCTTTTGGAGGATTTTTTTGTCTTGAATTTTCCAGCCCCTCTGTGACCGTCTACTTGCTGATTCTCATGTAGCAAAGAGCGCATGGTTCCAGGCACAGTAAATATTTATTAAATAAAGCCAGAGAGGCACCAGGTACAAATCCCAGATCTAGCACGTATGAGTTACACAACTTTGGCTGTGTCATTTAGTAGCTTTTAGATTCAGTTTCAACTTCATGAAATGGAGATAAGATCATTCTGGGCTATCAGCTTTAAAAACCATTTTTTTTTTTTGCCATATCATAGGTACTCAATTGATTATGCTCATTATTTTCTCTTATTTTCAGATACTGATCTGATCCTGGGGTTATCACAGTGCCTAGATAAAAATCAGTAATGGTCAGAAACTTGATCAAGTCCTGTAACACCAACTTGATCTTTCAGAAATCACTTCCTTGGGTTAGTAGATTCTCAGAAGCCAGTCATTAAGGCAATTTCCCAGGCCTCACCCCAGGTCAAAAGCAGAGTCCAGTGGCCACTGCTAGATAGCGCCCTGGAGCTAGTTTGAAACAGAGCTCAAAGGGCATGGTCTTCCTTCCACTAGTCCTTCCTTCCTTCTACTAGTCTGGCTGTGGACTGAGAGTGGCCCAGAGTTCAGTACACGATCTTATAGCTGGTTTCCCAAAATCCATGTGTGCCCCAACATTTTATTTTGATCTGAGCGTTTCAGCTCCTTCTGGATGAGATGCTATCTTCTTGGAGCTGCTTCCCCCACCACTCTGCCTGGAACTGGTTCTCTCTCCTCTAAGAACATCACACTTCTTAGGCTTGACACCCACAGGACAATTAAGTTTTAGAGAGTTGTCTTTTCATGGTCTAGGTCTGACTCTCCAACTAGATTTTTGAATTAAGGAGCTTCTCGTTCACCCTTATACAACAACAGCAACAACCAGCATAATGAGTATTTTTTTTTTACAGTTTACAGGGACCCCTCACCTCCATGTCTCCACTCTCTCACTGCGGTCCCCCACTCCTCTGGCCTATCACAGTGTCTTGCTTATAGAATAAGCACTTACTAATTGATGCCATTATGTGTTTATCAAAATACAGAGGGAGTAGCTAAAGTTATGGATCTGAGGTACATATTTTTTTTTTTTTTGGTCTCCTCTTTGGTAGTAAACTATGAAATAACCAAAGCCACAGAATTAATTACGTGTTCAAAGAAGTTACCAGCAACAACACCCATCACTATTAAACCTGAAAAGGTTATAGATATGTATCTGTGTGTATGTGTGTTTAAATGGGAAGGAAAGTAAAATGCATAGTTAACTTTCATGTATCCTTTTGCAAACAACTTGACCTGTACTCGTGAGGTCATGAGCAAAGATAAAGCTAAGTGAGAGTGAATGAGGGTGCCCTATTGGACTCCTAAGCCATTTCCAGATCCAGACTTGTCCTTTCACATTCAGTTCTGGAATACAGCTCCCTTTAGTTCTGTTTTTTTTTTTTTAATCAGTAAGGACTTAATAAAATGATATTTGGTGGTGAAAAATTACTCAGTGATTGCCTGTATTATCAGCAATGAAAAGCAGAATCTTAAATCCAAGATTTGTGAGAAAGGTAGGATTAGCTTAAAATCTAAATCCACCACCATGAATCCTCTCCGCTGCACACGAGTCCTTAGTCTTCGACTTGTCCCACAAAGTCCAGAGGTGTTTCTGGGGCTACCTGGCCTTCTGTAGCATCTCTGGCATTGCTCAAGATGAGTGAATTTAGCTGAAGATGAGACCGAATTCGACGATTCTTCAGAACCAAGTCAGTGGACTCCCCACTAAAATCAATTATTGCTAGGAGCTAAGGACTGCCAAGATGGTCTTGCCTCTGCCTCTCCCCTTCAGGAGCTGGAGCCAGCAGGCCAAAGCAATTCCAACCCCATGATGAAGAGCCCTTGTTGCAGCTGGGAAATCTCACCTCATTATTGGCTTGGGAGATCTCTCTTTAACAGCCAACCAGTCCATTGGGTGCATTTGCCAAGTGGGAGGGTCTTCTGTCAGCCCAACTCTCAGGATTAATTGTCTTACCTCTACTCCTTTCCTGTCCAATCTGCCTTCAGAGCTTGGAGCTGCCAGTTTGTCCGTCCCCTGGCTGCTCGGCTCACACTCAGTGCCTCTCCTCTTTTCCCCCAGGAAACCGTGTCATGGCTGCAGAGCTGCTACCAAAGCAAGACTAGAAGCGAAGCCAGCCGGCAGCCCTGTCCCCTCCCATCCCAGCCTGGCCCAGATCACCCAGTTCCGAATGATGGTGTCTCTGGGACATTTAGCCAAAGGAGCCAGCCTGGACGATCTCATCGACAGCTGCATTCAATCTTTCGGTGAGTTGGCTAACTGCCCACATGCATAAAAATCTCTATGTTACTTTGTTCTTCCCTAAAAAGTTGCTTTGTAGAATAGCAACCTAGATGGTATTTTGGCTTTAAAAATATCTTTTGAGCCTTTGAAATGTTGGAGACCGTGTGCAGTGCCTAAGGCACGTGACTGTGTGGGTGTAATAGGTCGTGATGAGAGGTGTGATTTCAAGGGAGAAAAGTTACTGAGGAGAGTTTGCGTTTCCATTTTTCTTGGGACGGAGGTTTTTCTCATGATGAAAAATCTCATAAAATGCTACTGTGCATCTGGTGCTTGGACGTCTTTCCACCCTTGTGTTCTTAGGGCACACAAAGACTTGGTTCCCTGAGCAAACACTGTTATCAGACAAGTTTGAAAGACTTTGGGTCTTGGGGACAGTAAAGTTTCATAATTCCCCTTAGAATTGGAGGCTAGTTGTGATGGACTAGGGAAGGGCAGGGTAAAGCCAGAATGGCTGTGACTGGAAGGTACTGGTTAATAAGTATTGTGCTTGATGGTCAAGGATCTGAGGAATAAGCAGACAGACACACACTGACAGTGAATTATCTAGAATGCTGCATGCTGTCATGCAGTGTGAGGGATGCACCACTTAGGGTAGCTCACAAGCAATTATCTGCAAAGATGCCATTTTTTTAAAATTTTATAAGCACTGTCTTTTGTGAGATTGTTATTTGTGAAATAGTGATTGAAAAGTACTAAATATTGGCTCCCCTCCAAAAAAGGAATGATTAAAATTGATGGAAAATTCATAGATTTCCAGCATCACTGTCCCCCCTAATCTGTGCCCCCTTTGAGTCCCTCTGTCTCCCACCCTGAAGGGTATATGTACAGGTAGTTCAGCTCAGAAGTGCCTCCCCAGCCCAGGCCCTCGTAGACCCTCCTGGGGAGTGTAGGGGAGGCTTGAGCAGATGCCAGGCAGCATGACACGTAGATTGTTTAGAATTCAGAACTAGGGATTGGTTCTAGGGCTGGACATGTTTACTGCTTGGTATACTCTAGTACAACATTGAATGGTTTTGATGATTTCAACATTGGTTTAAATCACATGGAGGTGTTGGTCATTTTTTAATAGATTGCTGGGCCTTGCCCCCAAAGTTTCTGCTCTGGTGGGTCTGGGGTGGCTCAAGAATTTACATTTCTAACACGTTCTAACAGGTGATGCTGATGCAGCTAATCCAAGAACCCACTTTGAGAATCACTGCTTTATTGTAGCCTTTTTTTTTTAACTTGGAAAAGAGGGAACATTTTTGTTATTACTGGGTTAGTCTCAAATTTTAATTCAATTTCTATTTACACTCTAATCGTTCAGTTACGAATGACTTTGGGAGCAAAGTGAGTGGTTTTCTATTCTTAAATAGTTTTAGAAAACACACAGGCAAGGAGGTGAACTAGAATTCAGGAGACAGGGGGGCATATGGCCGTGAGCAGCCTTGTTCATCGTGCACATTACTTTCAACTCACTCCCCACTGGAATAAACTGCAGAGTTCCTCACAGAGTCTTGGGAGTTTTATGTACTATTCTGTCGCAGGGCACTGTGAACTGTTTCAGGAATAAGGATTTTTATTCTTTCTCCATTTCACTGTTGAGAAAACAGGGACGGAGAAATGGTATTTATCATGCTTTCTTCCTCGTGTGCCAATTCAGCAACTGCTGGCTGAGGTCAAGGCTGTTTTCCTAACCTCTAATAATCATGACATCAGCCTGAGAAATCCAGGACCAATTCTGAAGTCCTTCCCCAAAAGAACCAAGCCTAATCCACCACCCTCAACAAATCCTACAGGGCATAAGATCCATTGTTTTCTGGAATATGTTGACCTGAAAAAAGTATGTTAACATCCAAAAGCTGTACAAATCCCATTGAGTCCAGTAGTCTTTCATCCATGCTCAGGAAGCCCCTCATTGCATCTGACACATGCTGGGCAGTGCACAAGGGGAATTATGGTGACCAGACAGACCCCTGTTCCTTTATTAGAGCTTAGAAGACCTGAGAGATGCACCGTTCAGGAAAAAAATAGGATACACGAGGCAAGGCAATAATCAGCTAAGGCGTGCAGGAAGAATAAATTACACACGTAGAGTTTGAGGAAATTTACTTCAAGGGTGAGAACAGCCACTGTCCTCACAGCCCTCTGGCCATGGGATTGCAGTGGGAAAGTAAGATCTCAAGGTTTTGCATAGTACGTACTACACCGTTTCGTGCCGCAGAAATTTATATGAAAGAGGTGAAAAAGAAAAGACTTGCTGTGTCTGGAGGGAGCAGGAGACGCACAGTGATTTTGAGTCCTGGGTTGTCCCAGCCGTGTGTAGTGGGGAAGGGGAGCGGAGCTTGAACTACCGAGGCGAGCCGAGCTGGGGATCGCTAGCAGCCCTTGACAAAGAACAATCCAGGGTGAAATGCCTGCTTGTGCTTCTGCAGGTCTCCTCAGAGGTGATCCAAAAATAGTACAGAGCGAGCCTCATGTTTCTCTCGAACCTTATCTTACTGGTTATTTTCTGTAGCATAAAGCAAATCTAGCTTAGCTTTTTGTTAATGAGTTTAGATGCTTTCTCATTTTAAAACCTGTGAAAAGAGAGGGAAATAGTATGGAAAGGTAGGGAAATTGTTTTGTTGTTTTGGTAATCTCGCACTTCAGACTCTGGCTTCAGCCACTCTCGGACCAACTTGGGGAAAAAAAAGGAAAAAAAGCCTGTTTTGAGCATAAAGACCAATTAGTTAATTTACTTTGTCCTGCCTTCTCAACCTCGCCTTCATGCAGGTCCTTTGTGGAGGTTTGAATTAGCTAGAGCTGAGCTGCCCAATATAGTAGCCATTAGCCAGATGTGGCTACTTACATATACATTTCAATTAATTAAAATTAAATCACATGTAAAATGTAGTTCCTTGCGACATTTCCTAGTAAGCTTCACTAGCCATATTTCAGGTGCTCAGTAGCCGCAAGTGGTAGCTGCTGCTGGACAGAGTGCATGGAAACGATTTCCATCATGGCAGAAAGTCTGTTGGACAGTGCTGGTCAAGGTAGATGGTTGACTTTGAGGGGAAAAGCAACAGAGACCTTCTCGAAACTGGGGGATTTGTGTTTTTCTAGCATCTCTAGGTAATAATCTGAATACTGTCTAAGGCATCATGGACATTTGGATTTAGCATCTTTACTGATGCCGCTCTAGTATTATTAACCATTAATTACCACCCACACTGTTCTCAGAGGAAGGACTTATTACAATGCTTTTAAGGGTGGGTGACCAGCACATACAAACAAAGCATATTCTTGAAGGCCTCCGGTGAGCCTCCCATTGTCACAGACAAGTTTACAGACCTGTGATTAGAAACTCAGAGCCTTGAGTCATAGTTCACTGCTTCAACCGTGAAACAACCCACTCCCACCTTCTGTTGTAATCAGAGGTCATGCTTTATCTTTTCGTCATATTACTGCTCGTTAATCTACTCTTCAGCTGAGCATAATGAGGCAAATCATCACAACCTGGTACATTTATGTCAAACATATGTGAATCACACCATCTGTTTCTGGGATAGAAAAGACCTATGAGATCATCTGGTTTTTAATGTTTTCACTTTTTAAGAGGGCTGCCAGCATTTGGGGCCAAACGGAAGGCTTCACATGTCCAAATTCACAAAACTCTTCCCCTGTTCCATTCTGCATGCAAGACAGCTTTCAGCAGCATCAGAAAGAAAACTGCAAACATGTCCCAGAAAGGGACCCTCAGCAAGGAACCCTCCTGCTCCCAGGTGGGGTGTAGGAGGATATTCAGCATCTTTGTCATACCTGTCAGTGTGAAGGGAAATGCAGCTTAGCTAGTATCTTCTATTTATGAAGTGTTGTTTATTTTTTCTTGGAGTTCCATATGTATTGATTTTCTTTTAAATACAAAACAACTCTGAAATTGTCAGGTCAGGTGGTATTGTCTCCATTGGACGAACGAGAAGATAAATTGAGCCTCTGAGGACTGAGGCCATTTGCCTCATGCCCCCAGTCTAGAGAGAAAACATGCTGCTCATGTGCTTTTTCCTCTGTCCCCAACAGCCACTTGTGACCTGAGCTGGGGCGCACTCAGACCCCTCTCCCAGGAAGGCCTCCCTTCGTGCAGGGGACACAGAACAGGCCTCAACCCTGTGCCCACGTTCTGCAGGCCTGGGCTCCCCCAGATGAGAAATTAAACTCCCTTCAATATGAGAAATATTCATTGGACCCCATGTATCTATGTCTGCCTGAAATTCTATCTTGAACAAAGTGTTGATTAAAATTACCTTAGGCATTGTACTAATGCTGTACGAAGACCTCCCAAACTAATGAAACACTTAGACGTTGAAAGCATTTTATAGACCTCAGCTTATTAATGGCAAAACACCTACTGTTTAAAATCGGAGCCAAAGAAGGCAATCACACATTTGTTGGGACTGCACACAGTTCCCCTCTGCAACTTAGAGCCTGTGCACCGAAGTGAGGTGCCCAGAGGCAACGAGGACAAATGACCAGAAGCCCAGGGCCATGATCTTGAAGGGCATTCAGACCCAAGAATGGGCAGCTCCAAGGAACAAAGCCAAGTGTCAAGAAGGGCCTCAAAGCCCTGTCCATTGTGGACAATAGATCCTTTGTGAAGAAGACCAGAGCTGACCCAGTAGCCTCCTCAGGGGAACCCCCAGGTGCTGGGGTGTCACATGTAAAGAATGGTCCTTGGGGCACCCATGTTGAAGGCTTCTAGGCCACAGAGCAGCTGCCAGACATGACTGTTGTTAGCCCCCTGGAGGGCATTAGCATTCTGTGATCAAGATGCTGTTGATTCCAAGGAGTGTCTTTGCTGTGTCTTCGACAGGCTGGCAGCACCCGATGCCCTAGCCTGATGTGTCTGCCCTCTCATGGATGTGAGGTACAGTGATTGCCAGGCTCAAGAGGAAGAGGTGGGAGATCCCCCTCACTCTAATCTGTGCTCTTCTCTGTGGTGGTGTTC